CTTCCTGTTTTCAAATTTCAAGAGGTGAGTATGTTGAAGGTTTGAAGGATTTTTGTGAGAACAATTAGTAAGATTGATTGTCAGTAGATGTTACAGTTGTCAAAAAATAATGGGGCAATTCATGGGTTTGAAGATAAGTTTTAGACATTGATTTGAATACCATCACGAATACCCAACATCCTATTGATTGGTTTGTTGAAATAAAAATACTGGTTCTGCAAGTTGCTTTTACAAGCAACATAGTATCTGGTAAGATAGTGAAACCTTACAATCAATTTACTTCATAGGGAAGCTTTTATATTATACCTTGGAATCTGGTTGAACGTTAAAAATTGATTGCAATAAAAATCTCCTCTGCCAGACTAATGTTTTGAATTTGCTATCATTATCAATCACACCGTCCACATCCCTACGTTATCATGATAATAATTGGATGAACTCTGGACTTATTCATAAGATCTTTAAATCTGAACTAAGCTTACCTGCTCCTGTGAAAAAAGAAATACACAGGAGCATGTGACTGTAGTGAGTCTAGCCAGAATCAGCTTTCATCCAAAGGAAAATTCAACTTTTCTTGTACCATGTGTAATTTTCTATTTGGTCTGCACGGTCTTGAACTCACTAAGTTTGTCGGTGTCTGAATAAACTATCAAAGTACTATGTCGTAGAAAGAGTAAATGCAGGAGCAAAGTATTTTGGATCATTTTGTCTTTCTTTTAAGAAAAAACTTATATACGACTTAGCATACAGTTAGCATGAACTCAAGTGATGTCCCAATATGTAATAAATATTTATAGATCATTTATTACAATTTGGATCAAACATAGCTTTTGCGTGAAGAGCGAAAGTTATACATAGATGCTGGATAAATTCATACTTTGATTAAGATTTAAACAGTGCTTATGATCAGCTGCTAGGTATCAAACAAAGAATTGAAAACACGTGAAGCCATGTTCTTCAGACGCGATTTCATCCAACAAGGTCTCACCGCCACTATCCTCAAGTTTTGTGGATAACATAAAGTGAAGAAAAGATTGCAATCAAAATATATTCACAAAAACATATGTAGCCATAAGTATGGGAAGGTGCCCCTCAGACGCAAGTTATATCTTCAAATGTTCTACAAAGAACTTTAATCGTTTTCTGAAAGAGTTTGTATAATTCTACCCTTCAAGCTGACTTCGATCACAAAGGCAGTGCAGAAGCATCAACTTGAGGAGATTTTTTACTCAATATCCTATAGCACGCAAGTGACTAAAACAAAATAACTCAGAGCTTGATAGCCGATCATGCCAAACAATTATGTTATGCGTTAAAAACTTTGTTCACTACTTGTATGTTAATCCTGAAATTCTCTACTTTCTCGGTTCCTTTGCCATTTTATAGCAAGGGTTGGGCCTTAATGTAAAACAAAAGGCATTTTGTTAAAACCTCTATGGATATTAGAGCTTACATAATCATTGGCAGAAATATTTACATTTATCATGTTCAGAAAATAAAGCTTCATCCATGTAGTGGGTTATCACTACATCTGCTCTTGGGAAACATTTTCAAGGTGGCCGACACAATTTCAAGCATTGGTTGAACATTTCCATTGTGAGTAACTATGGTGGTTAGTACGACGTCGATTAGGTTGTGAGAATAGGGATTCCCTCCTAGTTGAATGCGGATGAATGCCCAGATGTTTTTATAGCCCATCGCTAGATCGCTCCGCCGAAAAGCGGAACGATGCTCCACCGGGAAAACTAAGTTTCATCCTGAGCCAATCATGAAGCTGCCTGGTTAGCCTACCCGCACATTCTTCCATCTTGGGTAGAAAAGAGGAGACTTGCAGTGAAAAGAAGAACTTCCGAGACGGCTCACTTCAGTATGACTCATGCCTCAGTCTATGAAGTCCCTATATAAGGGCTATGTATAAGTTTGTGCAGCTATACCCGTCCTATTTTGTGTTGCACATCCCTTCATACTTGGTACAGAAGCTAGAGTACTCCAGTAAGCCTCGGCAAGGTAAGGTAACTCTTTAGGGTTACCCGGTAAAAGTGTAAAAGGTAAGGGTAAAGGTAATACGTTTGGCTATAGGGTAAGGTAAAGGTAGGGTAAAGGTAGAGCCTCGCAGATTACCTGGTAATTACCGGGTAACCCGCAGAATCGTGGATATTCTTCTGCACAGACTAAAACCTTCTTACCACGAATCTCGTACCCGCGAAAAGCAAAAACTTATTCGAGAGTTCGAGCCTCTTTCGCCCCAACTGTTTGTGTCCATCACAATGAGCTACGTGGAACTCTGTGGCAATGAGCTATACAAGAACCAATTCACAGTCAAGAGAAAGTCTTGCCAAAGTACAGTAAGATTGCAGTTGAAAAGTTGTAATTTTTGTAAGCGGAAGTGCCAACTTTCGGTAACCACTGCTGCCATGTCTGCAGATCGGTGAACATTGCGAGAGATTGATGTTTCCCTTGAGTACAGCAAAGAAACTAGAATGGAGTCACGTAGTCAGGTGCTCATGCCATGCTATCGAAAAAGTCTGCCATTTCCTCCACACCCAGCCTGTCACATCCCCTATTAAGCTGCAACTACCAAACTAGTAAAGGTAGATTTACAAGGTAACCCTAATTGGTTAACGATAAGAGTAACTTTTAAAAATTTTAAATCCTTACGAGGTAACCGGGTAATTACCCTGAGGTAAAGGTAAAAGGTAAAGGTAGACCATAGTGCTACGTGTAAGGTAAAAGGTAGGGTAAAGGTAGAGGCCTGTGCCTTACCCGGTTACCTTTTACCTTACCTTGCCGAGGCTTAGACTCCAGTACACCTCTTTGTCCGCCTGTTCGATTTCTTTTATATTTAGAAATCCGAAGGACTCACAAGCAGCAAACCTCATACCCTACCGCATCAATAGCTTAGAGTGACATCATTGATATCAGCTATACAATTAAGAAATCAATTTTTGTAAATCATAGTAGTATTTTATTGACCTCAATATTTGAAAATGTTGATGCACTACTAAACATGTTGATCGATTGTGAAATTTGATGAAAAAATATTCAGAGGGAGAATTGATTTTTACATATTTTCGAAAGGTAATGTAGAATGTGTGACAAGTTGACATGTATAGACTTTTTCCGTGCGTAAACTTTAAACCATCAAGATCTTATGATAAGACATTAAGTTTTTTGTTGCTGGTTATGTACTGTTTTTTCTTCTATGTAAAATGTTGTGTACATACTCAGCTTCAAAATTCTTTTTTGACATGATAAAGACGGAGACTTCACAACATCAGTTGTTCATTTATATATCTAAACATTGAACATTACATTGTAAGTCTAGTTGTATTACATTGTATTACGTTGTATTACATAGCTTAGGATGTCATACTTTTCTTATGTGTAAGATTATAAAATGAAGTTTGAGATCTACAGCTCAAATTTTATTGATCTTCGATCTGTGAAAGTTATGTGCTTGTTTCGCATATCTAGCAGATTTTCCACATTACGTTTGTTGATTATTTCTATGAACAGACCTAAGAATTTAATCACGCTTCTTACCTGACTAGTGTGCTGTTTACTTTTGCCAAAGCTAGTATGAAAAGTGTCATTGATGCGAAGATGTCGAGGTAGAGTTGAGGGTGTGACAAGTTCTTGCCCAATATCGTCTCAAGCATCAGGTACGACGTTCATGATAACTTGAATTATCACAAAGCATTTTGCCATTTACTCTTTATATACTGGATTTGCATACGATTCTTTCCCCTTGTTTCTCGTTGGCTTAAAACAAATTTGCAGTTGGTACACTCACACATTCTCCGAGTTTTTTCATCCCTACTCGTACTCTCCGATATACCGTATACCAGGCGTTCGGAGTTCCAGGCCAGAGACTCCAGTAGAAAGGTTAAAAAGAGTACTGTACAGACAAGGTGGATTAAGACAAGTTTGTTGAGTGGACGTTGAATCTTGACCAAAAACATGTGTAAGCTGACCAGCTTCGAACCTCTATAGAATGGTTGGTTTATGTTCAAGACAACGGGCTAAGTAGTGATGACAGAATTCAATGCCCTGACTTCAGAGTATCAATGTGTTTCCAGATCACTGGTGAGAAGTACGTCCGTCGTGCAAGTTCCAATCCTACTTCGGCAGTTTTCACTTTTTCTCGCAGACCAGTTCGTTCTTGGATGCTTGAATACGAATATGTAAGAGTAGGACGACAGCGGACAGTTTTGGAAAAAGGTAAAAGTACAGAAGTTTTCGTTGGAAGCTTGTGCTGCTTTCCCGCCGTGGAAGATAAATTCCGTTAAAACTCGACATTTAACAGCAAGCCGATTGATTGCCCAAACCAAATAAAAACCCATAGCTAATCAAATAAAAAATCTTCCTACAAGCTACTGTTTAAAAGAACATACACGGCGGGACGTACCGAACACCCATCATCCAAGATCCAAGGAAGTCCTCAACCATAGACTCGACATGAATCTAAACTTGGAAATCCAGCTCTTGTGATACTCTATGACAGCGCGATTGGAGGAGAAACCTTCACAGAGGAACCGTCACCTTCGGCATCGAAGTCAGCGAGTAACCAAATGCCAAACTCCAGCAGCAAATAAGTACTTGTGTTGCTCCGGCAACGACTATGTCGTTGTCTTACAGGGTGGAAATGTACATCTTCCAGTCACACATCCTCATCTTTTCGTCAAGAAATTATCTCCGGTGCTGAAATTAGTGACGGTTCAACCTGTTCAGATTGTTGGAAATCATTCTTAAAAAGAAACATTTTGCAGAATGGGCTTCCTTTTGAACTGTTTTAGATTCACAAAATTAGATGTACTCATGGTGGCAACGCTCCTGGAAGAAGCTCCAGAATGAGTGATCCCGGCACGAGATCCAATCTGTACGAAGACTATGAGGAGTGGACACATTTCATACGATACTCTTCAGTCATGTGATTGAGGATAGATGAAAACGAGAATCTATACGTATCTGTCAGCTGATCTCCCCAGCGCAACTAAAGGACTTCAAAACGTGCTCTCTTTTATTCCTGGCAAAAAGGCTTCCTCCGAGCTATACACTAAACAGAGCAAAATACTCTAAATGGTAATGATATGGTTTGAATATACCCCAAAGGGCTTTATTGCAAGATGTATTATCCTACCCACTTGTTATAGACACTTCTGATTGAACAGTGGAGCATAAGATATAATGGCTAAATACCGACCGTACTCTCGAGGATTGATGCGATCAAGTGAGCCATTCTGTCCCTTACCTACATCAATTACCCATCTCTGAGGTACCTCTTCAACCCATGTCAGCAGTCTAATACTATGAAACATGGTCTGTCGACGATGTTCAATCCACAGGACCTAATTGTTGGCTTACCAAAAATGCGAGCTCCGGCTGGCTGGTATTGTCCATGAGTCCCGAAAGTAAAATATTTCAGACTTTGTATCCGGTGATTGTACCTCCTCGTCCTACAATCTCTCCAACACAGTACCAAGCATAACATTCTCCAGCGAATAATGCAGCAATACCAACTTCTTCTAGCTTCAAATCATTTCGATTCAACACTTTCTTCTTGACATAATCGACCTCCTCCCAAAGAGCTTTGTAGCGTCCCGGCAAACTGAAATGATAAACACCTCCGTTAGTTGGCAATAGTCTAGCAAAATCAGGAAGCTCTCCGTCTTGATAGTGAAAAAGGTAAGCCGCTCTAAAACTCTATCTGACATCCTCCCGAGCCTTTACCAGGTGAAAGATAACGTTATGAGCTGGGAATCATAAGGGGCAAATTTGATCCAATTTGTTACAAAAATGCTTGATATGCTCAAGCGGAATTCGACATTTGATCAGCAAAAAACATGCAGACATACAGGCTAAAATACGGCTTCCCCTAAGATGCAGACTTCCAGTGAAAGAGCTTCAGCTTTAGATCATAGGATCTACAAGAGGACAGCGTGAAGGTCCTGTTGAAGATGCTGCCAGAAACGAAAGAGCAGAAATTGTGTACGGTAGCTCATCCTTAAAATGAAAGTGAGGACAATCTCCGTGTCCAGCGTGCAACATCGGATGTACATGAGAAATCCCAATTGTGAGAGTTAAGAAGGAAAAGAGAGCTCAGTGGATGCATAAAGATTCAGAGTGCGTGGTGACACATGGTGGTGAATCACTCCACGACAGTCCCACAGTGTACAACGAAGACACTTCACAATACCGGAAACATATTCTAGGTGACTGCAGATTCGAAACAATCAAACCTAGAAATCTGAAGCTATGCCCAGGTCCACAAACGCTTAATCAAGCGAGCGAGAATACGACCAGGACTGATCTACGACGTTAGAGCTTAAAGGGTAGTACGGCGCTCGTTATAATTCTTCTTTTTCGGCATCACTAAAGAACAGCGTCATGAAGACCGATCGCTACAAAGACAGAGAAAAAAAAAGGTGAGGATTGGAGGTAAACAAGAGGAAAGTAACAGATTGAAAACCTGGCGAGGCGAGTGTAGAAAAGCTGCTTGGAAAGCTCCTGGCATTTCTCAACAGTGGGCTCGCTAGCAATGTACTGCTTGTTTTGGTCCAACAGCTGCTTGTAGTACGCACTGCCATGCTTCTGCACTATGTGCGTAGCTTGCACCGCTTTGGTCTGCAACTGCTTCACAATCGTCGCCATGATTTCCTCACCGATCGATCGATCGACCAGCTCCAAATCCTCCACAACTCTACTTCCGATCGATCAAATCATTCACAAATTCTCTGTGTCTGTCTGTCAATTAGGTCTTGGAGTGGCCTCTCAGACGAAAAATTCGATCTTCCTCCGAAAGAGGTAGTCTAGGGGTCCACAAGACAACTTTGTCTTGCGCTGATACGCTTCGGCATCTTCTTAGCTTCGGCTTTAGCAGCCCTGAGGTGCTGTTTGACGTGTGTGCTTCGTTGGATTCCCTTGGGTACGGGATAGCTTCGCAAAGCCATTCCGCGCCTCAAATTTCCTTGAGTTTCGGCTCCAGTAGACCCGGTCGAACACGGCCCCTTAGCAACGTCTTTTCGAGCTTCGGGAGAGATGTGGTTCCTAGGTTAAGGTGAGCTTAACTTCAAAGCTTATGAATAGAAGAGAACAAAGTAAAAATAGCAAAAAATGAGAAACCCATCAAGACAAACAAGGATGAGAGCAAATGGTTAACATAAACTCGCCCCAATATCATCACGACATGAAATATGTCCTTCTGCATTCAAGTCACCCAAGGATATCGGTGACACATTCTACAAAAAAGATGAGAGTATGAAGAATCATCTAAACTGATCGAATTACTATAGATTGCAATGGATGTCAAAAATTCATTCTAAACTTATCATTCTGTCTACTACTACTACATATTTAGGGAACAAGAAGAACAACAGGAGGGACCAGGGAACCGGGTATCGATATTCCCATTGCATTGGAGCAAGAGAAATCAATGTACTTATGATCACGTGTATGGAACTTTGGATGTAGAATGGATATGATGGATTTTCTTACATCTCAATCCAATTCTACATTCCAAATAAATCTGAATATAGAACTAGTATCAAGGAGGTTCAATGCTGGCATAAACATTGACCGTAGTATATGTGGATAGTGCTTATGATTCTTTTGAGAATACATTAAAAGATACACTATTTTTCCTTATGATGCATCAACAATATTTTTTATTCGATCATAAAATTAGATCATCCTAAACACATTCCTACATTAATCATAAAACAAAACATATTCAAATTTTTTTATTTTATGAATATTTCATCATCAAATATCACTTCATACATTCATTATTCCTTATTTCATTTCCAATGATAACACTACTAAGTATTTTTTAGCATTAAAATAGACTGCAGATTTGATGCATTCTATTGATTCAACATAATTAGATATTAATTGTAGATTATATTCAAATTGTAATCATAAAGGTTGTTTTGTGTAACTGAAAGATGAGATTACATTTATTAAGTTATATTTATTAAAATAGCCTTTAAGTCAATAGCCTAGTCAATTTACCTCCATATTTATAAAATATGGAGGTAAAATGACTAGGCTACAATTTTAAAACTTAGACATGTATATAAAACATGACATACTTTTCAACGACATACTTTAAAAACTTATACATGTATATAAAAAAACATAGCAATTTTGCTATCGTTAAACTATAGCTTCATGTTACATCTACCGCATGAATGTTTGATTGCTATATAACTTTAATTTTTTTAAAAAATTTAAATTAATCATACAAAATAATTGGATACAGTATTAATAAATTATTATTTTGAGAATAAATTTATCTATATCTATTTTTTGAAAATATAATTAATTTTAATAATTTATATTATTATTTATCATATATTGCACATCTTGATTTTAAATCAAAATCTAACGTGATAATTAATTCATGTTAATATAATATCCATGTAAAATATTTTTTTTCTCATCATAATACATTTATGTTGCTTAATTTTCATAAAAAAACTAGTAAAAAAAATTCATATTTATTTAATTTAAAAATAATGAAAAATTAAATTATTATAATTAAAGATATTTCTATTAATCTTCAAAAAATAAATAAAATAAATATAAAAAATAAGCAAGATTTTTTTATATATACAAATATCTTTGCTAATACAAGGTTTTAATTCATACTTTGAACACATTCAAGTTATATTTCAAAATATTTATACTTAAACTTTGATTTAATTCTAGATCAAAACATTTCAGGTACTTATAATATCATGAATATAAAAAATCTTGAGTTACATCCAATATCATATAGGATCAAAATGATAGCATATTGTGTTTTGTTGTAAATTATCAATTATAAATTGATGTAAGTGATTGTTACAATTATCTTGTTAGATAATAATTTAATCTATCAATCTGTTAATTGAAAATAACTATCAACAATCCGCATACTTGTTAATTAAAAGTTTAATATATTAGTGTGTTAATTGAAAATAATTATCAACCATCCTTGTGCTTATTAAATAGAAATTTAATAAATTAGTGTGTTAATTGATAGCAACTATAAACAATTATGTTTTTGTTAGAAACAAATTTAATGTATTTATGTGTTAATTAAAATCAACTATGAGCAATACTTATGCTTGTTAAAAAAAACTTAATGTATTAATGTGCTAATTGAAAGCTACTATCAGCAATATGGTATGTACTCATGTTAGATAAAAATTTAATCTACCAGTGTGCTAATCGAAAGTTGATATCAACCATCACTATGCTTGTTATGTAATAATTTAATTTATCAATTAAAGGTTAGTATCATCAAACCATGTGTTTGTTTTGTAAAAATTAAATGTGTTAATAAAAAATATTATTAGCAATACATCCTATGTTATGTAACGATCAAGTGTATTAATGTCTTAATTAAAAAATGATTATCAGCAATATGTATGTTTATTAAGTATGATCGCTATGTCATTAATCCGCTAGAACTGAAATGGATAATTAGACTAAGATATTTTCACAACCTTAGAATCCATTATAAGCACAAAGAGATGATATATCTTTATATTTGTTAATTTCAATATAAAGTAAAAAGTAAAATCTTTTTTAGTTTTTTCATCTTGAAGATTGTGTTTCATCTGAAATGAGTTCATATATAAATTACAAGTGTTACACCAACTTGAACAAGTGGTACTCAACTTGACTTTGACTTTTTTTTCTTTCATAGAAGATTGTCATCATATTAATTGTATTTAGTTATTAAATTTCTGACTTTTTTCAAACTTTATGAGTGTCATATTTTACTTGATCAATCTACTAACCTTGCAATTCAAACACTGAAGGTAAAATTTGACATGTAAATACTCTTGGGGTTTTGGATTTGAAATTTAAAAACCACAACATACTTTCATTATCGATAATCTATCTACTGATAATTTGATATCAAAACCAACTAGACTTCAAAGTCAAAAAGACAAAATACTTGGAATCACATTGTTGCAATGAATATCTTTAACTTTTGCATTACAACATCAAACAACACTCAATAATTTTTCTATTTTATGCAACTAAACACATTGTGAATATAAAAATATCATTTGGATATAAATCTACACATGTAACTCATATTGCATCTAACCACATATCATCATAAATGAATATCCAGTACAAAATCTCCTACGGTGCAAGGGCTGTTGATGTGATAATTAGTCAAAATGCATTAGTTGCATCATGAAAAATTAAAGTGTTGTACACAAAAAATCAATCTAATTGCATATTCAATCATGAAACACCAATTTTTTGTAATTAAAAATGACAAGATGATTTTTCAAATGTAGATTTGTACGGCGAGAGTAATAAGTCAAAAGATATCACTTTCCATGCTATGATCAATATCAAGAATGATTAATGATCAAAATTTTGTAATTTGAATTTTCCTAATGCAACAATGTATTCAAAAGCATTTTTTGAATAACAATGATGGTACTTTAAGCTTCATAGAATAATCTGTCGTGCGAATACATATCGCCATACACTCTACATCGCTCACATGCTACTCACATACACATACGCACACATACACACATATAAGGCGCGAGAGAGTACACACTCAAATGTCACAACTATACACAGGAGATTCCCCACTGGAATTCTTGTCTGTCGATTACCCTACTGGCAACAAACCGTCACCGTCACAAACATGAGTCAAGCCGAACCCACTCCACACTCGGAGAATCCAGGTCGACGCAAAGAGGAAAGTCGCTCTACGCTCCTAACGCTTCCAGGCTCGACTCGAAGAACGTTAGTTCTTCGAGCCGTCCCCGACTGTATACCCCTCGTAACCCAAACCCTCTCTTCATGTCTAAATATAGTAAGTGCCCAGACTGCGTGAGCCGACTCGAAACTACATGACAGCTGTCGTGCGAATACATATCGCCATACACCTTACATCGCTGATATGCTACTCACATACACATACGCACACATACACACATATAAGGCGCAAGAGAATACACACTCAAATGTCACAACTCGCCCCCCTAGCTGGTGTAACACTAGGTTTTAGAGAGAAGTTCACTCGAAGATAGAAACGTAAACTCTGAAGATGAGAGATACCAACAATGGTTCTCCTCTCCCTTATATAGCTCTCACCAACAAGTACAAGGTGATAAGATCTAATCCCCACCATCCATCCCACTCCTAGTGGATGGATGACATGGCGGATAACACTAACAAGCACACGGATCGCTGACGTGGCGCACCCAACTAACACACTAACTAACACACTCAATCCTTACCTACAAGCACACGGATTGCTGACGTGGCACTGTCAACTAACACATCCACTCTGTACCTACCAAGTGCGCGGATCGCTGACGTGGCAGCTATGACTAGTGCACACTAAAGTATATATATCAATATTCAGAGTAACCTCTACTTTAGTTCTAACTAACTAAAGATGGTTACAAACCTCCCTCCTTTTAAGATGCAACGTCCTCGTTGCACATACGTTCAAACTCCTGAACTATCAAAGGTGCATTTGCTAAATTTTTAGCTGGTTCCCAAGTTGATTCATACGATGGATAGCCTTTCCATTGAATCAAATACTCTACTTTGGGATATTTATGACCTCGAATACGTTTCTTGAGTATCTTTTCTACCTCAAACTCCTCATGATCTGCTATCAAGGTTGGAAGAGGAGGTGGTGCTGGTTGGTTGGTGAATTGTTTTGGTCGTGGTACATGTTTTCGCAATCGTGACACATGAAATACTTGATGTATTTTCATATGTGACGGAAGTTCCAACTTGTATGACACTTCACCAACACGCTTCAAAACCAAAAATGGACCAATGAACCTAGGGTTTAACTTTGGTGTTCCTACAAGAGACAAATTCGTTGTAG